GTTGTTTACATCAAATGAACAGAAAAATCCGCCATGGGTGTCTTTGTTCTTCTGCTTAATGTGGGACGTGCCATTGTATCCTGGGTGGGTGGTGGGGATGGGGGGGTGTGCTGGTTATTGTTTGACAGTCATTGTGAGCCAGTGATCTGAAGCATGCAGGAGATTTGAAGTACACTCTCATCAGAGGATCGCCCCATCTTTTTGAAGAGGAAATGAAGTTAATGAAATCAGTCATCCATCCAAATGTTGTTTTCCAAAAACATTTCTAATATTTTGCCCCCCCCCCCCTCCAGTGTCACCTTGTCCCCAGAGGTAATACCAAAGCCCTATTTCTGCATGGCGGCGTGTTGAAGGGATGACGGATCTGTTGAATGTTTATCCTGCAACATGCTTCATCCAAAGGACAGACGTCTTAAATCCGATCCGATCTTTTTAATGATTTTGCTACTGCCGTTAAAAACTGCCTTTAATCTGACGTACGGGAGAGTGAACTGGTGATATTAGCTGTTCAATTTCGTCGCGTCACAACTGCATGACTGATAGCTCCAAGCAAGTTATACATGGTGGCACATCCAGAGGCCCTCCCCACTAACTTAAGCCTCCTCTCCCCCGCTGGTGGTCCCACAGGCTGGGATTTGAATGATATTATAGTTTGATTTGTCTGTTAATTGCCTCCCAGCTCATTGATATGGGTGCCACCGCTTTCCAGTCTTCAGTCCCTAAAATCCAACTTCTGCTTAAAAGATTACTTCATACTGCAGAGCCGTGAATAACGACCAGGAGCCGCCGTTTGTCATGCGCTTGACGCTGAGATGGACACCGCTGATACAAAACGCGCCATTATTCTGAAGAGAACGATCTGAAAAATAAAACCTCGGCCAATGCTGTGACTCCTGAAATCACTGGTCCGGTAGTTATCAATACTGCTGAGAGAGCAGAAGCCAGACAGAGCCAGGCAGTAATCACTACCATTACATTATGAGTTTATTCCCAATGACACACGTACAGTCCGTCCATCTTCCGCTTATGTGGAGTAGCCGTTTACGCACTGATGATTGTAACGGCTTGGGGCCAGAGCACGGCAGTCCATCAAAGCACACTCACACAACTACGCACACGCTGCAAATTCACTCAGGCGTCTGGCCACCCGTCTCGCATTTCACGAGGTCGTCCCATATTCTATGTTTTTGTCCCATATTATAGAATAGAATGCTGTGTCCCGTTCTGAATATTATTTTATGCACAAATGATATCCACCACCACCTCCTTCTGGGGGTGGGTCCCCTTACTTCTGCAGCTCTATGGGGGGGGGGGGGGTACCAAAGAGGAAGCCCACAAAGTACAGAAAGAATGTTAGAACTCCGCAGAGACAGAAGGAGCTCAGACTCCCTGAGCCCTGAGGATGCAGCACTGCACTATGGCTGCAGTTACCCTACAGTGACATGATGAAGGTAGTTAGGGCTGCGGCATTATGTTCTCGGAAATTAGTATGCTTCACCTTCTGGGATAAGAACACACAGCCTGTCAGTGTGCGGCTCACTGGTTTAGGATCTGTACGCGTGATCGGAAGGTTGCTAGTTTGAATCCCATTGCCAGCAAACTGATGCCACCTTTGGGCCCTTGAGTGAGGTCCTTAACCCCCAGCTAAATGGCCACTGCACACTGGTTATCCCTGCTCTGTGACACAGTCTGTGTGTCTCATGGAGAGCAAGATGGGGTAGGCAAAAAGACAGTTTCCCCACAGAGATGAACGAAGCCTCATCCTTCTGTTCCTTTAATCTCCAAGCTATGTTCTGGCCAGAGAGACTGAGCCTCCTCCCTGTAGTGGTTTAGCGAAAGACGAGCGCCTCTCAAATGTGTCATGCCTCTGGTGAGTCAGCCTGCGCTCTCCTGCCACCCGCAGGCCTTCGTGCTCCTCTGCGGCTTCCCATCTCTCAGATGCCGTAATTTTCAGCTGCAGTAAGGGCCTTTAATAACTTATGGAGTTCAAAGACCAGAATGTTCTGCTGTTCAGGAATCCATTAAACCGTCCCAAAATATGAGCTCTTTATTTGGATCTTCTACAACGAACAGCAATAAAAGGGAAAATAATGTTATGTCTGTGTGTACGGTTTAAGTTTTCCGGAAAAATTTTTCTTTGGTAAGGCAAAAGGATCCGGTGTTTACTGTGCTGCGGCAGGCGCCCGGAGCCCCCCCCCCCTCCCCCCCACTCCGTCGCTCAGCCTGTCTCTTCCCAGGAATAGGCCCCGGGCTCCGTGATTACCTTGTTCTCTGGTTGGCTGCTTCGGCGTCATGCAGCGTATCTGACTCCAGGGTGCGGAGACTCCCTGCCGGGGCTGTCACTGGAGGCCCAGCTTGGGGGTAGATACCGGTTCTGCTGTCTCCTGACCTACCTCTGTCTGCATTTACATCCCATTGGGGGGCAGATTCGTCTGCGGGCAAATCGGGCGGAAGAACAATTCAGCCAGATGATGAATCTTTTCGCTTAGATTTACTTTGGTTTTTCATTCTGGTCTTCAACATTAGCTTAGGCCATATTGGTAGATCCGCACCCAAGGGAAGCGAGCATCCCACAGCTTTACAGCCAAGGACACATGCCAGTGTTTTTCCAGAAAACTCTGTCTTTTGCTGAGGCCTAGCGAACCTAATGGTGCCACATGAAAAACAACCTGTCAGTCCATGCCGAACGAAGGTCACAGAGTGTGGAGCACAGCGAACGCACATGCGAGGGCTAAAGTCAAGACCAACGCCCATGTAGTGTCACCACATATTGTGTCCCCATGCAGTCTGACTTTGTGTCAGGGTTTGTCACAGATGCAGTGAGACCTCAGTTACCCGAAGCTGGAGTTGATTTCATAATGGAGAATGATGTGGACGGAAATGAAGGGTGTCTGCCAGAAGTTATTAGCGGCCCTATGAATGAAAGCGTCAAAGCTGCAGAATACGTGGATGCGTCTCCTGCTTGTGTCGTGACACGGGTACAGCGTGGGAGGCTGCAAGATGTTCTGGATCTTTCTGACATACCTACATATATACATACACAGTACCCGTCAAAAGTTTGGACTCACCGACCCACAGAAATGTTTATTTGTGCTATTCTTTTTAGAATAATTACAAAGACATCAAAACTAAAATATGTATGGGAATTATGCACTGCCCAAAAGAAATATTAAACAAAAAGAAATAAATTTTGAGGGGGGGGGGGTTGGCAGCTGTGGGTTGGGAGTTGGAAGGTTGCCGGTTCAAAATGTCCCCAAAGTGGTAAAACCTGAAACTTTCTTACTTTCAGGGACATTTTTACGGTCCCCATTTGGATAACATCAATTTTATAAAAATCTGTGAATGCAATCAAAAAACTAAAAATGTCTTATATTTTGTGTGGTTGCTTATGGTTAAGGTTAGGGCTGGCTTGGGGTTAAGGTCATCATGTTGGGATTAGAGTGTTCCCCATAGAAATGAATGGAGAGTCCCCACAAAGATATGATTACAAACCTCTGTGTGTGTGTGTGTGTGTATGTGTGTGTATGTGTGTGTGAGCGGGTTTACCTATCCGTAAGGGGACATAATGTCCCCATAACGTGATAAATATCCGTTTTTTTTCCCTTATGGGGGCCGGTTTCCTGGTCCCCATAAGGGAAAACTCTATTTTATAAAAATCGATGACTGCTATGAAAAAACTAAAAATGCAAAAACTCTTGTATTTTGTTAGGTTACTTATGGTTATGGTTAGGGCAGTGTAGGGGTTAAGGTTGTCATAGTTAGCGTTAGCATTTTTCCCATTGAAATGAATGAGCGGTCCCCATAAGGATATGTTTACCCTATGTGTGTGTGTGTGTGTGTGTGTGTATGTGTGTGTGCGTGTGTGTGTGTGGTTTATAAACAAATAGTGACAAATGTATATGAATAAAAATACATGATTTTCCAGTTTCCCACAGGCTTAACTCCGTCTCCTGACCCACCCCCCCAAGCATCCTCTCACTGATATAGTAGCTTCCTGAAAGGAAGGCTTAGCGATGACGGTGTGGCAGGGAGTGGGGGGGTCCATTTGTCCGTTATATCCTGAGTCTCTGCAAGGGAGATAATTAAGCCTCCATGCTTTTGTTTCATTTGGCCCGAAGTTGTCCGGTAATTAGTGACTTCCTCTCATGGAGGTCTGGTAGTTAGTGCTAGCCAGAGTGCGGTGCTGAGCTGTTTAATGTGGAATGAAACAAGGGAAGGCTTCATCTTGCTCTTTTAAGATAGTAGAAGAGTCAGGAGGCTCGTCTCACCAGAATCTTCCGGCTAAGCTCAACGTTGGCTCTGCTCCGGCGGCGGCCTGCCGCTTTATCCGGAAGTTTGGAGCCTCTCGGACGGTATTCGCTTGCTTCCATGTTTGATGGCACGGCCGCTGAGCCAGGAAACTTTGAGATTGTTGTTTACCAGATGATGCTCTCCAGCTCATTTTATTCAATTCATATTGGTAGCGTGTTAACTGTCTTGGGGTAGCTCCAATCCCATGAAAAATCTGGGCTTCCATCTTCTCTGGAATGCCGCTGGTGACTTGGGGCTCCTCTGGTGTCCGCAGAGCACGGCTGGATCATCTCAGGTCCGCCGTCCTGACGCATGTCTGAGACACACGGAGCCAAGCGCCATGCTTGTAGCTAAAACTGACAATGATCAGTGTACGTCCAAAACGTACAAGGGCCCTATTCACACATTTCGTGTCCTCTGCTGATAATATTACCCATAATTCCAGAAGAGATCAAATCTGCCTCTGAGGCTGCTCCAGCCTCAGAGGCAGAGTCCAAGCTCTGCCCAGCTGACTCCGCCCCTCTGTGGCGATCAGACACACAGCTCTCTCCGGTACGTATACTGGTTATGTGTCAATCCTTTGTAATAAGTGAAACAAAACTAAGGCTCACTAGGACACATATCACTAAGGATTCCGAAAATCCGATAATACGGAATTTAAATAGATTAACGGTATTTTCTGTCTGTCTGTCTGTCTCTCTTTCCCACAGCACTGTTTCCATTAGCATCTCGAGTGAAGAGAGGACTGGCGGAGATGGTCAACCCCATCTTCCATAACTCCGTAGAAGACGTCAACCTGCTCTTCGAGGTGAGATCGCATTGCCACCACGGCTTCAAGGGACTTCAAACGTTCCTGGGAAATCTGTATACCTGCCATTTAGCTTGAATAAACAGGCCCCGATTTTAGCAGACCATCAATGCAGATAGATGCAGATTATGCCATTTGAAAAACAGCTGTTGATGGTCAGGACCTGACATTTAAACCTGTCTTTGTACCATGAGTGGGATGCCTGGTCTTAGCCAAATCTGTATCTACATCTAAAGATCCATCTTTACCGAATAATAATAAGATCAAGGTCAAAGGTCAGGAAGACATGCCAAAAAATATCCACCAGTTTTCTTCTTGTATAAACCAGCATTCCCAAACACTGCTTAATAATTGTTGATCCTTTAAGTTCAAGTTTATTCATAAAGCACATTTAAAACAACCAAGTCGACCAAAGTGCAGAACAATATGATTTGTGAGTAATATACTTACATGACAACAAGACAGAAATACATTGAACATAAACACATGGACAAAACCCCGATAGAAAAAACCACAGCGCCGAGAATAACTAACTCTTGGGATCTAAGCTGGGTCAAATCAAACAGGGCTGAAACAAACAAAACAGAAAATCGTTAATTATTTGTTGGTGAATATTAGTAGCAATTACTGTATGGTAGCATATTAATTAGCATCTAAATTATAACAGCAAATAGTTGAGTTAACAGACTTTATAAAAAACTTAGGTCGAGATATCCAGCAAGTAACTTTAAGTCTAGCGATATAAAATCACTGTGAGGGAGTTAAAGTTTTATTCTCAGACGCAGATCGTACTCCGTAACTCCTAAGCTACGCCTAGGTGTCATTAATAGTTGATTTTGTTCTGAGAGCTGGAGCACTGAAGCTGTCACATGGTAAACAATGGGGCAGGTGTCACGCATTGTCCCTTGGCGGCAGCGATTATTGGTTTGCCTTCCCAGGCACATTATTGTTAGGGACTCAAAGGACTAGCTAAAGGTCTGTTACGCACAGTGTAATTCAACAGAGATGGCCGCTTCTATATTAAACTTTCAATACTTTGCAGTTCCCCTGTCCCATTAATGATTTATGCAACATGGCGCTAAGTGTTTTGTGTTTAATTAAATTATACATAAGAATCTGCACAGCTCTGTGTTAGAAAGAAAAGCGGGTTAAGATGGAGAGATTTTTTAACATTCTAGGAGAGCAGCTGTATCCTGGGCAGTATTGTTCTTTTTTTAACAAAATTTAACAAAATTCACATCTATAGGCAAAACGCCAAGGTGCCATTTGAAAACAGGCCAGAGTAAAGCCTCATTTGTCCACAAACTGACCTCAGATACTTGGATTTTCTGACCAATCACATGAGCTCCAGCACCCACAGAACCTCTAAGCCGTCACGCAAACCAGAGGATTTGGAAAAGTATGAGTAGACTCAGAACAAACCAAAAGCTTATGAAGGTCTGGAGGTTACAAGCCACCACAGGATTGTCCTGGACTGCGGCATGTCATTCTTCATTATTTGCCAGAAAGCTTTCTCCTGAGTGACTGTGTAAGAGGTCTGCCTTGCAGCCTGCTGTCCCCAAGAAGGATGGAACAGGAGTTTAGAGGCCGGACTAGAGAAAACCTGGAAGGGAACTCAAACAATTCAGCCCCAGGCAATGAAAGAGCTCTGCGTTTTCCCTCTTCTCATCGGCGATCCTTCAGTGTCTCCCCATTTTCCATATCAGGCTGGTAAATCTTGCAGTAGGACCCACTTGACTCGTTGACACGCTTAAACGCATGCATTTCTGAATAGTGTACAGTGATTTTAGCCGATCTGGGGACACATATTTCTAGCTTACGACTTTCCAGACATTAATAGCGCGTGATGCTTTGACCGTGGAAAATAATGGGCACACAGCAGCATTGTTTTGTTAAAAACATACGTTACTAAATCTGCAAGTCCCCAGTTTTCCATGCAGCATGCAAGAAAGTCTTGGCATTCAAATGATAAAAAGCAAGAAAGATATATTTAAAAATTCTAGTTTCAAATATTTCAAATCTGTCCATCTGTGCTTGTAAGTCAGCACACTTAAAGCCGTATCAAGCTTCAGCCAAGCTCTGTGAAGAGGATTTTTTAGTTTTGAAGGGATCTGGAAGTGCTTGTGATATTCGCCCTCTAGTGGTCAGATGTTTACATTGCGTCTATGAGTCCCAGTGATTAATTATACTCATCATTTGGATAGAAAACAGCATCGCCTGGCTTTTTATTGATTGGGCTACTTTCCACGAAGCAGGTGGCGCTCAGCAGAGCCTACCACTAATATAAACCAGTCACTTTCCTTATGGGATGTTAGTGCTGCAAGATATACTGTAAACAACACGTCAGGCCAGAATTAGCTTTGTCCTATAAAACTGTATTCATGGAAACGTATCTGCAAGCAAATCCTTAGGATTTTACTAACCACTTCAGTCTTGCCTTCAGAGAAAAATATGGAGCTTATCAACAAATACGGCCCCTTGTGTTCATGTATGTGCGTAGATGGATAGATAATAGCTCTTCTCAGTTCTTGCATTTGGATTTTTTGTTTTGCTAATTACTTCCCTCGTCCAGTGTGCAGATTTTTTTCTCTGTAGCGCATGTAGTGAGCGATGCGTAGGCGCCGTGTGGTCCGGCCGGATAATGAATGCAGCCGCAATGCAGAGAGAACACGGAGCCGAAAGGTGTGTCTCGCGGCTGAGGGCACGTGGCGCCGGTGCTGACCAGGCGGGCAGAATCTGTACAAAGGAGTTCCTTGTAATGACTCGGCACTTGAAAGCCACAATAACATATTTTTATGTTTTTTATTTTCAATTTTCTTTTGAAATCCAATTTAGTTTTTGTTAGTTTTCAGTGTGGTTTTATTCGTTTTTATATTAAAGACATATTTCTGATTAGTTTAACATATTTTAGTTTCAGTTTAAGTCGTTTTATTTCTAGGGATAGATTGAAAGTTGCAGATCTATTTTATGTGTCTTATCTAAAATAGGCTGAACACTGCTCCAGGTAATAATGATGGTCAGCCAAAGGCAATATACTGGATTACACTTCTTTGAGTGATTTCCATCAGGGTAGGAAAATGAGCAACTCATTACTTTAGCTAAAGGTATTTTAAAATAGTAATGGAAAGTATTTGGCTTTTGATTTTAGTTTATTGTGTTTTATTTGAGTTCGTTTTGGAAGCAATATATACAATTTTTTTGTTTAGTTTTTGGAACTACTCCACTATTAACTGTTTATATATATACTTCCACCTTGCATACACGTATACATATAGAGACAATTAATGATTTATTGGTTTCTCTTAATACTAGGTTTTTTTTTTTTTACTTTATGTGCGTGTAGCTCAATATGCAGAGCATTTGTATGTGTTGAATCTGCACAATGACAATACAATTCTCTGCATTCTATTGTGTACTGTTCTGTCCTATTAGTAGGAGTTTATTTTATTTTAGCATTTCATTTTATTTGTTTTACAAAAATGTTTTCTTATAGTTTTAGTTGGGCTTTTCGTTCGGGATAATAACCCTGACCTGCCCCCTTCCACGGTCAGCCTGCTTACCCCCGCTCGGTTTCCCGCAGATCCTGCTGGCCTGGCTGCCAGTTCTGGAAGAGAGCGGCTCTTTCTGCATACCCGATGAGGAGTTGGCCTCCATGCGGCAGACCCAGAAGCTGGGGCTGATCTGTGAGGACGTCCTGCCCCAGAGGCTGACAGACATCCGCCGCCTGGGCGCTCACCTGTCCCGGCGCCAGGCGCCCCTGCGCAGGGAGGACTTTGAGCGCACCGTGCTGACCATGGTGTACACGGCCAGTAGGATGGCCAACACCACGGGCCACCAAAGAGAAGCCTGGGCGGACTCCTTCGTCAGCCTGTACAGAGCTGTTAAGCAAGATCTGAGCCCCGGGACTCCATAACCAAACCATCAGAGATCGCCACTGGGCGTTGCGCTCATTGCCGTTCCCCTAACACCTTGCATAATATATATTCAGTGTTTACCCTTTCATGTATGGGAAGGGAAAACAAAATATTCTTTATGAAATCCGTTATTTTGTAGTTTTTGCAGAGGATTACTGTTTTGACAGCACTATAGATTTGCATTAAAGGTACATTTTGGTCTGTATTAATTGCGATGTTATGTGAGCATTGTACGTACTGATATGCATCTTATATGAGTGAATCCATGACCGAAGCCGAGGAAGTCTGACAACTGGTTTTTAATGTGACTTTGCTATTATCGTTCCATCCTGCAGCCATTAAAACGGCTCCTGTTCTCTGCTGTTGAAGTAAATGCGTGACTGCGTTGGCCGCCTTGCTTATTTGTGATTAAAAACAGAAAAAGCACATGCTTGTTAATAGCATATGCTTGCGTTATGCTATTAATCTTTTTTGCAGACCAACATTTATCCGCATACAAGTCGAGGCATCAGGAGGAAAAACACGGCTGATGTCATGGCCGCAATCACAAGGGGTGCAGGCGCGGGTGGCGGGAGACCAGGATGTCAGTGCGAGTCCAAGCGGTTTATTGGGCAATACACATGATAAGGTTTAACAGAGGTTACACGGAGTCATATACAGAGGGGACACTGCCACCACTAATGACAATATGACGACGACTACTACTACACCGACGCAAGAAATGCTCAACTGCCCAGCTAGAGCCTAAATTTACCCTTATGTATAAATGGGAAAACACAGGTGTAACATGAGGACAATTAGGGCAGGATAATTGGTAATTATGATACACAATAGCGTAACATATATAGGTAAGCCTGACTGCCCGTTTCCCTTATGGTGGGTGAAAGCATGAAAATTGTATTAGCGTTGATTGTTAATAAATCATCAGCAAAGAACTGCTAGAATTCACTTGATCGAAGTGCATTGTGAAATGAGTAGAACTTAAAGTAGGCCTAATATGATTTGTTATATGGTGAAAAATTGTATTCATGTTTACTAATTGTGCATTGGTAATTTTTTAATTGTGAACTGGTTTTGAGATCTTAGCCACAATATCTTGGAAAGAGAAAATTAGTCATGAAAACAGTTGAAAAACACTTCTGTTTTCTGTTTGTTTTGCCCTCTTGAACCACATATGGTAAAGTTTAAGACATGCCATTTTATATTACTGCTGCTTTCTGAATCAATGAGGAATGTAAAGAACTTTCAAGGTTTCAGTCAGGGTTCTGTTTTGATGGTGCTGTGTACCGCAGCAGGTCTGGAATCTGTGACCACGCTTGGAAGGTCATCGGTTCAAATCCCATAGCCAACAGAGTAATCATATCACTGTCGGACCTTTGAGCAAAGCCCTTAACTCCCACAGCTCTAGGGGGGCTGCAGGCTGGCTGATCCTGTGCTTTGCCCAAAGACTGTGTCACATGGAGAGTCAGGTGAGGTATGGGACAGCATGGGAGTGCTCTAGCCCCACAAAACCTGCTTTATTATTTTTTTCTTTTATAATGTCTGTAAAATCGGTAAATTAATGAGAAAGACAATGAAATATCATTGTTTTATACCGTTTTCTCATGATTACGGAACCCTTTTCTCGACATCGCCGGAAAACGAACGTCGTGACATATTGGGCTTTGGGGTCGAGGCTTGCCGTCTTTAAACATGCAGTATACTTTTTTGTTCAAAACACACACAGAGTGCCGGAGTTAGTCCTATAGACTAAATAAATTCTAAATTCTATCTTGTAGTCAGGCGCGTAGCCACGTAATTAAATTACGGGGTTTTAACGTAAAATCTGTTTGCTGTGGATCAGAAAGTCAACATGAAACCACTATCGCCGCCAATGCTGCGGGGAAGCCAAAGAAACTGCACGTGTATCGTGGCAAATAATTAATCTTTTTTCTTTTCATTGCAGACACTAGGTGGCAGTGTCGTATAACAATCCTTTAATTGCTCCGTTTCTTAAACCCAGTCTTGAATTTCCAATAATGCAAAGGATTTTACGTGTACTTAATTTAAACTTCAGCATGCATAGCAGCCATCAGTTTAAGTGCAGGGTATCGATCGTCTCTTTTTACAAGTAACCTTCTGATTAACCAGCATATGTCAACGCAGATGCAGACTTAAGGTTTGGGGGAATTATACTAATCTGAACGTTTTGCACTTTAGTCCTTTTAAACGTCTTTCATGGGATGCTGGCTGAAAGCCGCCAGACTGCTATCGTGGAGTTTAAGGGAATCTAAAAAGGAATGAGGCAGGGCTGCCAGTCATCATATCCCGGGGGACTTTCTGTCAAGACCCCCGATTGCTTTAATGTCTTGGAATTCAAGTTTTTTCGCTCTCTGCTCCCGATTCCGTCCCCTTTTAACCGGAGGGTGATTATTGGTCTCAGATGAACCATGTCCCAGAGCTGCCCTCCAGCAGTAATTCGGTTCCGACCCAGCTGATCCCCCCATTGCCCGTTAGATGTGTGCTGCGTCCGGACGGGACAGAGAGATCGCCCGATAATCGCACCCGGCCTGTTTGCAGAACTTCTTCCCACTCGGCACGATCTAGGCTTTTCTTCAGGGTTTACGTCTGAAATAAAATTCTGTCTTTCTTTTAAAAGCGTCAGTGTGCAGCTGAACCTTGGTATGGTTCTGATCTTTAAAGTATATTGAAGAAATATAGGCTAGTTTTGAAATGCAGGAGCATTAAATAGCTTTGAGAAAACATTAACGATATTAAGTTTTTGCATATTTGTAGGCTGGAGATGAAAACTTAACGTATGTGGCATCGATCTAGATGTACAGTTTTTAATGAGAGCCAGGCGTTTCAAGATGTTCATTCTCCAGCACCAGACAACGCGGCCTGAGCGTATCTCAACATACAGCAGTGACCCACTGGTACCAGTCCCCTTGTGTTTAGTGTGAAAATGAATGGGGTTTTTTTTTTTTGCCCTTTTGACCTTGGCTGAACGAACTTTAAATGCCATCGGATATGTGGAATCCCGCTGAGCCTTTTAATGCCCTTTACCTAAAAAGTACAACAATTGATTTGGATAATATCTTTAGTTTTGGGTGTGGTCGCAAGGAAATTGAATTATGTTATCAGGCTCAGTCTCCCTCTGTAATCAGCGCAGGAGGTCAGGTGGTGAATTCACGCACAGTATCTGCTGGTCAGGCACTGATCTTTGGTCAGTGAGACGGAGGAGCCGGCAAAGCTGCAGTCAACACCAAGATCTTCCATCTGTTCCCTCCCACATGTTCGGCTTGGCATCCAGACTGCCCTGCTTTGAAAATAAACGTGCCAATTGGGGCAGGTGTCCAAAATGGCCGTAAAAGAAGACAACTTTCAGGTAATCCAATACCCACCCGAATCAGTCAGGATTACAAGGTCAGGGTCAAGTCTGCTGGTTTTCCTGCTCCTTGAATCTTTATCAGTTTAGCCAAACAAACATGATATCGTTCTAATATGAACTGTTCGTACATTTGGTGTGTATGTTGGTGGGATTACCAGGACACTTTGGGTCAGTTTGTACCTGAGGTGTTCCTCTCAAGCAGAAAAATACATCTTACTCTGTTGTTTGCGGTCACCATGCATGACATGGGATGTTTGGCACAGTTGGGTTGGCAGGCACGTTGGATGACTCCTAAGGCCCTTTGAAGCTTCACAGAACGCTGTTTCCTCTTAAGTCACTTGGCTGAGAGCTTCTCCCACCCCAAGCGTGCCGCTCACGGGGGTTGCTTAAGTCACTTGGCTGAGAGCTTCTCCCACCCCAAGCGTGCCGCTCACCCAACACAAGTCTAATAATGAATTACATGCTGCAGCTATTGGCAGCACTTTTGCTCAACTCTCACCCCACTGTGTTTTATCAGGCTCCGACTTCAGAGCCGTGTCAATAGGATATGTAAACGCTTGTCGATGTCTGTACTCGTTCGAGAGCAACAATTCGTCTTAGACGTCAACAGTTTTAATTGGGAGGATTCCTAATTGCACATGTATTAGAAAAATAATTGGAATTCAGGCCCTCAATAGTTAACACAGGCTTTTAAAATGTGTTTACGTTAATACTTGGTGCTCATAAACAAAAAGGGGGCCATCGGTGAATGCTTCACTTCACATCACACCAAGCTTTGTAACTCTTTATTAACCATCCAGATGTACGTCTACAGCTCAGCCAAAAGAGGACGTTCTAATGGTCACTAGGATGCTTATGCCTGTTAGGTTAATACGTAAATAATTAATGAACAAAGATCCTTTAAATTTATCATCTATTAATGAGTACATTATAAAAGTTTTCTAGCTAGCAGAGCTAGCTGTTCTTAGGTCTGTATCATAAAGCAGGATTTCTTGCCTAGCCGGATAACTTGTCGGATTTAAGGTAGTCAAGCTTAAATGAACTTCATCTTCATTCACTTACCTTTATCCCGGATTGCTTTAAATCTGACAAGTTATCTGGCTAAGCAAAGAAATCCGGCTTCTTGATACAGACTCCTTATTGTTTTTGTGTTTACGAAGATGCTGCATATCCAGTAGATACCCATGCACACACACACACACACACCTGTACTCATTTCTTTGTTGGGACCCACCATTCATTTCTATGGGCAAAACCCTAATCCCAACAATGACCACCTTAACCCCTACCCAGCCCTAACCTTAACCATAAGTGACCAAACAAAATATACAATACTTTGGGCATTTTTAGTTTTTTGATTGCATTGACAGATTTTTATAAAATTGAATTTCCCCTTGTGGGGACCAAAAAAAATGGTCCCCACGTCAAAATAACAGGTTTTTATCACATTTTGGGGACATTTGATCCCCACATTATAATGTATATCTGACCCACATACTGTACACACACACAAACACTACCATTGCCTTATCAGATCACATATTTCATCGTCAGATGCTTGTAAGGAATACATCATCCAGAAGTGGTTAGAGGAGGACAAGCAGCAGTAAATTAACGCTGGCATTGTCTGTGTTAGCACAATGGACATTTTGAAACCATCCAGGACTCAATTAGCCTCCCTTTCTTTCCCGTCTCTGAGCGGCGGTGCGGAACCGGACCATTTATCAGGACAACGTGGGTTTTCCCTGATAACTGAGATTGTGTCTTTCTGAAAAGGGTCAGTTGCACAATATGCACTGACCTCTGTAAGGGCGTCGTGTTCATTAATATATTATTACGTTCTAGCAATTAAATGAGCATAAATACTTTAATAGAATGTTAGGTCCATCAATGGGCTCAGATAACATCAGAGATCACAATAAGCGGTTTCAGCAGCTCTGTTATTCTAGCCTATTGTTGTCCCTTATTTTTGTTCTTCAGTGTGTTGTGTTTGTACCATCTGAGGTGTGGCTGACAAAATTAACCGACTAAACGAAGAACCCATAGTGACGTCGCACTGCCGAGTTCCACCTGGTCTCCTAAGACAGCCGTCACCGTTCTTGAAGTTGGCAGGTGGAAGAGTGTTCAAACACGCGCGGACTGTGGTCTTTGGCCAAAGTCCATCTTGCTTTTTCAAGCGGTTTAAATCATATTAATTGTCAGATAATACACTGGCTGTACTGTTCCTGGCCTCTGTTTTTCTTCCAGCCCTGACTTGAAACATTTCATAACATTGGGTGTAATATGTACTGTTTTTGTTATTTTCTGGAAAGCACACACTGGAAACTCAACGCCCTTTAGGAACGACAGTCTCGGATTATAGGTGTTTGTTTTAGCAATATGCAGCAATATGCAGAGGTTTGTGTTTCTACGTATGTCAGGCTGAACTGAGGGATACAGCAACTCGACTCAGGTCCCGCCCCCTGACTCTCTGGTATTGGTCAGCAGTCTTTGGGGGTGGGGGTGGGGGTGACAGTAATGTGTTTATTCAGCAGCCCCTGTGGCTGCACCCTTAGGACCGTGGGC